GAACCCCTCCATCTCAACAATGTTTGGGTGCTTCAGGCCGTCACGCCGAAGGTAGTCGAGAACGTGAATCTCCAGAGGCACTGTCCCCAGCCGACGGTCGCGAGTCCAGGTGTCCACCAGAATCCGCTTCTTTGTGACGTACTTCAAAACGACCTTCTTGGACGGGTTCTTCTTTAAGCGAGCGAGTTTGACTTCACCGTACGCTCCTTGTCCCATCTCCTCGAGTATCACATAATCCGCAATTGTTCGTTTCTTCTGAATTTCCTTAGCATTGGCATGCTTCACCTCAGGGACAGGTTGGACAGGCCGATCTGTCAATGGTTCCGATGCTGCTTCGCTGAGTTGCTGACTTAACGTAGAAGATGGTATCTGAGGCTCCAGCGATGGCTTTTCGACGCCGGGAGAGCGCGCAATAGACGGGCTCGCCGTCTCGGACCGTTGTCGTGGGGGAGGAAAGGTTGCCGACGGCCCTATTGAGTGGATCTTTCTCGAATAGGTGACCCATAAAGCATACACAAGTTCCTTTATGGCGATTGCATCTTCCTGATAATCACCTGATTCGTCATGTCTTTCTATGTCCTCACTGTGGTTTTGACGGAAGAAGGTCTCGCTTTCCACAACGCGCAATTGAACGTCTACGGCAATTGTTGACCCGTCACGATGGGCGGCAGTGATGCCCATCGGTTCCAGGAACACGGAAGCCACGTTCGCCTTACCGTCGCGGAGGATGGAAAGTGTCCGTGCTCTTCGGAAGCTGGGTTCAGAGATCACCACTCCCTCCACCAAGGGCAAATTTTCCTCCTCGCTGAGCACGTTGAGCAGGGTGTCAAAGCCAGGTATCAGGTCGTTGACATGCATACCCTCCGGTCGCTCGTGGCCGAAGAGGGCCGACGAAAACACTGGATTAGAACTAATCACCTTTAACGTGGACGAAGACAGGACCATCATGCCCGCAACATGAGGGAAACTGGATACTCGGAGACAGCGTGGATCTTCTTCCTTTCCAACAATAGCCGGGATACAGATCTCAGCAGAAGCCCGGGCAGCAAAGTATTTCGTATCGGCAAGTTTTGGTATACCTTTGCTGGGCGGAGCCTTAAGGCAATCCTTCGGCAAGTGAGGGAGAAGGTCTGTGATATGTGATCCAAGCTTCACCACGCCCTGGCCCCAGATCTTGTCGGTTTCCCCACGGGTACCAGTGATGGTCCAGGAGTCGTCGCAGGAGATGTAGGCGACATTTTCCTGTATTTCCTCAAGAACCCAGATAAGGCCCCCGCGTTTCTCCATAACCCAGACGCTGGCGGAACCTTTCGTTCCATTACGCTTCTGAATAGGTATAACATCCCCACATAGCAGGACGCCTCGCGATTTTGTAGCTGAATGATTCAGATTTCTCGAGTTGCGTTGGCTGGAGCCGTACCCGTCATCGGTCTGGGCTCGCCCGGATTTGACCATTCGAGAAGGCGGCTTACTGAGGAGTTGCGCGGTGACACCATTGCCCATCCCCATAGATTTTGGGTGGACCGGTCGGATTTGTGATCTCTCCGCCAAAGATTGGAGCTTCGCTGCGGCGCTAGTTGTGGGGTCTCGCAATTTGGATTCAAGCCACTGTCGATGGTCCCGTTGTACGACCTCTAGGATACTCAGCCTGCGGAGCTCCGATTGTGTGACACCAAATACGAGACACGACAGGTCATTGGCAGCCAATATCGTCCATGGCGCTTGCGACTCGGTCCTAAAGACGGCTTGTGAGATGGGATTCCATTTGCTGCTATGGGTATGTAAGGCGGGAACGGGGAAGCCCGGGCCCAAGATCGAAGAACTGGCAGATGTAACAGAGTCCGCAGTAGAGTACGGTTGTGCTAGATTCTCCATCAGCTTGTTCCGGGAGCAGACAGAGCTGGCATCCGTGTATGTACGTTTTAAGCTTACGCGCCTGGAGGAAGGAGCGGACTTCATCTCCCTTCTTTGGTGAGGTATGTTTCCAGTGGATAAAAGATTCCCTCCACTCGCATCATGTCCTTGTCGCGTCGCCTTGATCTCAGTCGCAGAGCCTCCAGGTCCAGTGAAAGCTTGATCAAAAATATTGCTGCTGTCCACATCTGCAGGGCTCGTCAACGGGCCAAGCGACAAACCAGCATAATTGTGCCTGTCGTCCTTCCCCGCAATACTTGTTTTGGACATGAGCTCTACCATACTTTGTGCCTCCGCATCGCCAGCCATGCGAGCCTGCGCGTTGGCAATGGCGGGATTGCTGCCGGACCAGCCGAAACGGTCACGCATAAAATCTATGGATCGTTTCAGAATGTTATGACGACTGTTGAGTAATTCGTCGGATTGCTGAGCAAAGGAAAACGAATGTAACGACTCCAGCGGGAAGCGATGGAGGTCTTCCAACGTGCTGATGCTGTCATTTGAGGATATGCGCATGAGACTGGGTTTCGAGGCCGTGCTGGATCGACGAGAAGGAGTGTTGCTTTGGGGCGATAAGGGAACAATCGACGAGGTAGATCTGTTCGGGAGATTCAAAGTTCGTGAAGGTGGTTGGCGTATACGGTCCAACCCCGATGGGCCTAGTCCATGCTCGTGCTCGAGCAGAGAGGATCTGCAGTATATAAAGATTTGATCTCAGTACCGCTGTTTCTGCACCATCACATGCAACATTCTTCGGAATGCAAGGGGATCCGTCAACTGCTGCTTTTCTCATTTCTTACCTCGAGAGATCATATCCAGAGGAAAGGCTATCGACCGAAAGCTTCATCGGTTCATCACGCTGTAAGGAAAACCCTCCCATGAAAGATCCGGATTCGGGGGATTCTGAAAGTGGTCCCAAGGGGGACGACAAAGGGCTCGGGTCACCTATAGTTTTAGAGACGTTAACCGTTGTTTCGCGACGTATCAGACGATAAGCGCGCTCGTTCCCGTCTCCGCCTCCTACGCGCCTTTCCTTGCTCTGCTTCCTCACTTTCTACTCTTATCCTTTCAGGGCCAAGAGTGCCGGTTGTGGAAGCTCTAGTTGTTATTCGCAGCAGGCTTGATCACTCGACCGATGGATAGCTAGCTCCATGTCACAAGCAACAGATACTATTGAAGCACAACTGACACATGAAAGGGTGGGGCAGCGAGGGGAGAAAGAACGGAGGACTCATGGACATCAAGGCAAAGGGAAGAGCGCATGACTAACCATCGGAGTTGTATGATGTATTGCTCATAATGGCCGAAGAAACAACGATGTAACGACCCGCGATAACGATCGGATCGGGCGGAGAAGAGCCCAAATCGCAAAAGCCCGAGCACTGAAGGGGATGGAAGAGGAAGAGAAAAGAAAACCCGATATAATAATGCTACATGAGATGGATATTCGACATTTGTGGCCTGCAGGCAGGAAGTTGGGTCGCGGACTCCGGTTTCTGAGGTGTGTTTCCCTTTTTTTTCTGGTCGGCGGGCGCGCAGGGACCAACAAGTGCAATCGATAAACCGACCCCCCTTTTTCCAATTATTCGAAATTGCAGCACAAGTGCATGGAATAGTAATTGTCTCCTCTAAAAGAAGGTCGTCTGCCGTCTGAATGAAGAATAAGCGATCAGCGGACTGAGTGCGAAAAGAGTAAATTCTAGAGGGCAGCTGCCTCGTAGGTCACAGGCACCACCACCAGGTATACGTTGCCGTAGCACGCGGAGCTCAACGGTATGGTAGACAAATCTAACGTCTCATTGAGGACTTAAAAATACCTACGCTTTTGTTCTCGTCATTGACTGATGACAGAAGGTAGATGTATCCACGTTTAGGTGGACAAATGCCAGAACTTGAAAGAGAAAGAAGAAAAGACAAAGGCTATCCAAGAGCCTGAAGAGAGCGGACAGAAAGGCGGAGAGATGTGATGAGATGGAAAGGATGGGAAAGACAAGCGGGAGTAGCACCTTAGTATTAGTCTAGTTGATGGATATAAACCACGGCCTTTTTGTTGTTTTTATCGTTGTGGAGACTATGGATGTGCTTAGGGTCTTAGGCACATAAGTAGGATCATCCATCTATGCTGGAGAAGGCAATGACGTCCTTTGATTGTTGGGCTTCTCTTTCATTGTATGGACCAATTGAAACATATGGAGCACAGTGTTTTCTTTAGCCTGTTTTTAGTCTTGCACGTGGGGTAGAACTGGTATGCCAGGATCATGGGGGAATTAGCAACATAGAGCATAGATATGAGGTTGTAACTATGTAGTTGACGGTAGGAGTGAAACTTGAAAGGGCTGACAGTTAGTAAGAACTAACCAAGATGCTGTAGAAAGATTTATCAATCAGGCATACTGGAACCTGGGTAGGATATGTCTACGGAGATTCAATTCTCTCTCTCTCTCTCTCTCTCTCTCTCTCTCTCTCTCTCTCTACGGAGTAGATGTAGATAGTATGTAAATACCTGAAGAACAAAACAATCAATGGTGATGTATAATGTGGCAGTTCCCCCGGTATGGAGTCCTTAAGGTTATACCAGTCCACGCCATAGAGCGGCTCCCAATAACATCAGGTAGTGTTTGCCTTCATTTGAAGGTGGAATCCGGTTCCATTTCCTTCACCCCTCCATACACCTTTCGACAACAATGGTTGACCCCTCATGTTGTGATCTTGTGATCAGCCTACTCCATAGAAAAGTACACTTCTCTCTTTCCCTTATTAACAGTGGGTCGGTTGGAAATTTCAGGGCCACTCCAGAGAGACCCTTATAGATTGGGCTTGCAGACTAAGGTAGCTGTGAACTATCCTTATGATTGGCACACATGAAAGCCCAATCGACGCAATCTGGAGATCTACGGTCTGACTTCGTCCACACAGTAGACTTACTCTCAGAACGGACCCTTGCTCTCATTTGAGGAGTATTGTAATATGACATTGTATAATGTAAGCTGTGCTAGGTTCTATTATACTTCAACCGACCACTCCATATCACGCATCGGATTCAAGGAAATGAAGGTCGGCAGTGTCGCCGATGGCAAGCCATCCTCCTAATACGTGCTGTCGCTTCCTTGAGCTTGAACCTTGGCGCCTCCAAGACTGCGCAACGCGAGACCATCGACCTCATCCTGAGAGCGTTGCTGTTCATCGGCTCCATTGCCGAACAGTGTAGGGGTTTGTTCCTTGTGTCACCGTATCGAGTCTCCTCCGGCGGTACCGAGGCCGGGCTGACAAAACTGGAAAGATGCCGGCTACCACCAAGCATCCAAGAGAACTCGGAATCTACCAGAGATGGGCGAGCTGCCGGCCTTAGTGGCAGTGACGAAGGCACTTTCTTACTTGACGGCAACTTATGAAGCTTATTCTCCACTGCGGCAGATGAGACGGATGGCCTCCCAGGATCGCTCGGGGCTTGCTGCCCTTCTTTTGCCCCTCCGTCTTGGACCTCCTTGTCCATGGATATTGGAGGCTCAGAAGGGACATTCAGAGAGGTATCATTAGCCGCATTTTCACGTCCGGCAACAGTGATCAAAGCCTTGGAAGGGTCTTCCAGGCATGTTTGAACCGACTGAATCTGCGCGAGAGCTTGTCTCAGGGCGTCCGCAGTCGTAGTTTTGAGATCTTCTGCTTTCATCAGTTGAGTCCGTATGTCGTTCAGAGCTTGACTGAGCGTCTTGGCCAGTGATTTGTTTCGTTCCTCCAAGGTCTGTATCTGAGTTTTGAGATTGATCACCCTTTCTGGCTCCTCAGATTTTGACAAATTCCTTCTATGCACCGCGGATGGCGTGCTATCATACAGGGCAGTACGCGGGAGTCTCTCCGGCTGCATCGCCTGCATGTTTCTCCTAGCCTCGCTGACTGCACCTCGTACTGCTTTGGCTACACCCCATGATTCAGTACGTCGCTGAAGACCTTCGGAGAAATCCTGGAGTAGACCTTCGAAGCTCTTGGGACTACTCCTCGCGGGTGATCTCGACGGAGAGCTTGTTTGGCTGTCCTCTTTGGAGTCGTTACGCAAGTGGAACCGTCTCAGCGAAAGGAATCTTTCACCTGATCTATCGAGCGTCTTGGTAGGATCGGGTGGCTTTCCCGAGTATTTCGAGATGAGAAATCTGCCTCTTTCTGGCGTGGGATTTTGCTCCAGATACAGGCCATCGTGCACAAAAGCCTGTGGTGAGTGCGGTTGCGGGGAAGGATAGCGAAGTAATGTCGTCAGAGCGCTCGAATATCCGGCACTCAATACTAAGGTGTATCAGCATACCAAGCGACAAGGATATAAATGATGGATCGTATCAGACGTACATTGCCACCGAATGCGTAGGAGCATTGCAACACATGTGAACTCTATAAGCTCCGACCGTAATCCCTCTGCAAAGAGGAGATCCCACAAGGAAAGTACATCTTGGAAGGGAAATTCACGACCAAATAACAGGCGCATCCACCGACTACCCGAAAAATTAGCAAGCCTTTTCAGCTGAACAAATAGACGTGCTCATCCTGGTGCACTTACGTGAGGAAGATTTGAGGTAGAATTTCCAGCGCTTGTAGATGATCGGCTAACTCGAGGTCTGTTGTCGTCAGGAGATTCTGATGAATGTGCTGACACTGGTTGACGATAGGTATCTCATCCATCTGACCGTTGGCAGAGCGTTCCTTGTTATGCTCATAATACACTCGAGTAGTTTGCATTACGGAGCAAAACAAGGCGAAAGAGTCGTGCTCAACATAGTCAGCGTTGAGCAGCTGCAGCATCAAATCATCGCCCTCTTCCTTAGCTGAGGACTCTTCGAGCACCTGCCCATCAACCGCATCCCCGTGAATAACCCACAGAATAGGCGCCAATAGCTCATGCATGCCTTGTCGATAACCAAGATCCGGGTTCAACTTTGCATAGATAAACAGAATGTCAATCATTTTCGCCTTGGTGGCGGGTTCACGGAAGAAGAAATTCTCTTGTAAGCATCGATCAACATCCTGGGATATATCCGCTCTCATCTGCTCATCTTGTCGTAGAGTTTGCCAGGGAGACTTTTTGCAGCAAACACAGGGTCAGATGTGCGAGCAATGACAAGCCACGGTAGCAGACTAGAAGTAGCATACCTCTGCATCATCCGCTAGTGGGTCGATTGTTGACGGTAAATCATCTGGATGCTCAATGTATTTCAGATAGTGCGCTTTCAGCGCGGTATATGCGTCCCGCGACTCGGATGTCCTTCGTGGCCATTGTGAGCGATTGAGATCGTCGAACAGAAGGAACGCCTGCAGGCAGGTAAGCTAAATTGACTGTGGTGCCCAGTGCCGTAGCTGCATGCCTTCCAGCAGACAGACCTCAATCCGTCATTGCATAACTTGTCTCCTTGTTCTGATTTGATCGCATCTCGGAGGGCGGAGGGCGTAGCATTGTCGCGAAACAGGGTATTCCATCTCTGTCTAGAGAACCATTAGCAAGTCTTTTCCCCTGGCGTTACAGGCAATTGTACCTTGTATCCGAAAGGGTTCTCATCTCTCCATAGGGCTTTCAGCAGCGATGTCTGAATGAGCAGACTTGCGATGACGGGGGGTGGATTGTCAAGTGATGCGGATCGGATCAGATGAATGGAGCCTTAGGTTTTGGGCGATCATTGTTTAGTGGCGGGCGGTGGTCCCCGCCATATGCAAGTGCGCTTTACTTCTTCATGATCGTTATGGTCGCCTCAAGACCCTCCAAATCCTCGCCCTCTTATCCGAAACCACGCAATGATCTATAATATCTGTATAGACTCGAGAAGCGGATTTGCACCATAGAGATTCTGGTAGGTTGGACAGCAGATTATGACTGGCACGGATGACATTTTTCGACATTATCGGAGTTCAACTGAGAGTTGAAAGCATTCCACCTGCTCACACGGAATCTCTGAACCTACGGAGTGACTGTTATTCTCGCCTTCTATTTCAATGTCCGCAGACTTATTCGCCGAATTTGGATACAAGGCACCATCTGCGCAGCCTTCAAATGTCTCACATCAGCGGCGGCCGGGTCACAAGCACACTCGCTGATCCCCGATTTGGACGTATTAGAAGATGTGGTCTCATCTAATTTTCAAACCGATGTTCAAGATCTGGCCTCCTCGTCACATATAAAACAATCACAGGCGCCAGAAAACCAGTTTGTATTAGCCTCGAATACGGATTTTCCAAAGTTGCAGGACTATGGCGATGGAAGTAACGTGTTATTTGACGCTACTTTGGAGCCTATGCCTGGTGATGAAGATGAGGACGAGGACTGGGGCGAATTTGAATCTGCAGAGTCAGCGATAGGCAAAAACCGGCCGCCAGCACGCTTTCAACAGCAGGATGGTCTACGGGATGGTCAAAGTAGAGCCAAGGATGCTCCTACGCTGCTTGACGTGATGGATACTCTATCAATTGCGGACTCGAAACTACCAAACACCAGCAAGCCCGCTGTCAGACAGTCGATTGATAAGCCTAGTTCACATATTAAGGCTGTTGGTCCCGTTGCTGTACCCGACCCTGCGCAGGACGATTCGTTTGAAGATTGGGGTGAATTCATTGATGGGCCACCTGCAGAGATCAAGCCAGTGAAGCTCCAAAGCTCTTCCGGATCGAGGAGTCCTCAGGGCAAAACCCCGCAGGCTGGGACAGGCGTCCTTACGTCTTCTAATTTTACTATGCCTGGAGAAAAGGTATCCGAATCTCAGATCCGTCCTACAAACATACCCCCACCGTCTGTTCTCTTGGAGTTATTTCCCAGGATTTTTGAGCGACTTCGTGAAGAAGCTACCAAGGCGAGAAGAGGTCTGCAACAGGAAGACCAGGTCGAGACCGCCGCATCCCTTATGCTCTGCACTTTGAAAGTGGTTGCACGAGTAGTTGCTGGTCGCACTCTGCGGTGGAAACGAGATACAATATTGAGTCAAAGCATGCGAATAGGCCCCGCACGTTCAGGGAAGCCAGGCGGAATGAAACTCAGTACCGTAAACAAGAACGAGAGCATCAAGGAACAACAGGAGGCTGTTGACATCCTCGCAATGTGGCGTGATCAAGCCGCGCTCTTCAATTCTGTGATCCAGGCATCCGGAAGGCAACCGATCCAGGCCATTGCAGAAAATGCTCGTGTAGTAACAGCTACCGCGGCCCAGGGAGCCATCAAAGCACCTCATGCTTGCGCCCTTTGCGGGCTGAAGCGTGACGAGAGACTGCCAAAAATCGATGAGGACGTGCAAGACAGCTTCGGAGAATGGTGGGTTGAGCACTGGGGCCATAGCGAGTGCAAAGGCTTTTGGGAAAAGAACATGGGCCTTCTAGCTCAACGATAATAATGCCATACAGACCATGATTAGAATGCATACTCCGAGTTTCTAGGATTTGCAGCTTGTTAGCGCGGTTTTTGGACGCCTTACTTGATGGCAAATCTTTCTTTGCGCCATATTATTTCTTTGTGTTCGCAGTGCAGTGTATGTGACATACATCAGACGTTTCACTGCAAACTCACGATAGTTAATTGCTCAAGCTGACATATTATTTGGGGCTAGTCTAGCTCGGTATGTACTCCGATAACAGAGATAAGACCGTCCTGTCTTCAAAACAGAAGGGATCTTGTAAATAATGAACTTTAGGTATGTTCGACTGAACACGCTGATTTCTTCAGGATGAAAGAGGTGGTTCAAGATGTTAAATGATCAGGAGCTGAGTGGCTGCTCTTGCGCCACTGGTGGTGGCTGGTCTGGGCCTCCTGACTGTGTCACGTACTTGACCTTGTGTGCCCGTGCGGGGGTACTTAAGTGTCAGCTTGGAATGAGGTTATGAGCAACTGCCCGATCACTACACCTCCTTTTCCCTGCCTCTGTACCTGCCGCGTCATTTGTATCACATCTTCACTGATCACGCTTATCATCCTAATAGCTTACCTTGAAGCAAATTTAGAACATTTGGTACTGCCTACCGTGGTCAACATACATGATCCCTTTCACCCGGTGCTACAGCCGCTGTTTCCGCACTACCCCATATATACTTTCCTTCTTCCAAACTTGTACAGTCAGTCCATAAAGCGGGGAGCGTATCTTGCGGAACTCTCTATTCGTCAGGTTTGAAGCCACGTCAACTATAAGTATTATTGGTGGGGTTCTTGTCAGACAGGGAACTCCTTGTGAGGACATCAAGAAGGGCGGGCAATCCGGAACGCCAGTATAACTCGTTAATCGCTCCCGTCAGACTTATTCCAGACCCATACACTGAGGCAACTACGGATTACCCACCTTATCGTCGTTGAGCTCGCACTCCAGGACTTTTCTTGAGAGGTCGGTGGTAGTGGGAAGGCAAAGCGATACAGGTCACCATGGGTCTTACGTACAACGTCTATCTCACTTCCAACAAAATATTCGGGTGCAAGAAATGCAAAACGCACCTTGCCGATTACAATGATATTATCAGTCGGGTCAGTATTACCGTACTGTGGTTCTTCTCCATTACGTGATTGATGCATCTACTGATCCATTCATCCCTACCGCAGAATTTCCGTGGCCAACATGGCAAGGCGTACTTGTTCAACACCGTTGTCAATGTAACCCACTCCGAGGCTGTGGAGCGTAACATGACCACCGGAAGGCATATCGTCCGAGACATATTCTGCAGGCAATGCGGCGAACTAGTAGGGTGGAAGTACGACAAAGCGTACGAGGCGAGTGAGAAATACAAGGAAGGAAAGTTCATTTTGGAGGAAGAATTATTATGTGTGGTGTGTTGAAAGCCAGCTTCCGTTCCGTGATGATGGGCTGTCCATTCGATGACAGAAGCGGTATTCAACTACCTGAGAGCAATGTCGTCATTGAACGGCCTGGAGGAGGATGTGTGACTCAGATATTCAAGACGGATTCGAGTGAGCGTTCTATGGTGAGTGTTTAGGGGAAAGGCGTTGGGCAAGGCGTTCTGGAGTTTATCCGTTTCAAACTGCATGGGCGTTTACAGCAGGTTAGGGCGCAATAGAGGCTCCCTATATCAATACACTGTCAAACAGCTCTTTTTCATAGCCCTCTATATATCGCACCTATGTAGATGCACATACCACCTATTCTACATTTCACCCTGGATTGTCTATTGCAGTCCAGTGAGTCGTAGCTTCACATCAAACCGCACATAACTTAGGTTTTTGTCCTCGTGGCCTGCATATATTGTCTGCGGGGATAAACGCTTTTCGAGCTCAAGGCATCGCATGTGACTGCATTTAATGCTCTTTGTTTTCGATAGCTAAAATGTAAGCCAATACCATGCCCTGTATCTATATTGTCCTGCCCAGAGACACCCATGAAGTAAAAACGGTGGATATTATACGCAATTACGAAGACCAATTACTAGAAGCAAGCCTCTCCCAAATCTTGTATCCAATTATTTTTAGTCATAAATGGAATACCTGCGAGCTGGATGCTGCCCCGCATCAAAGAACAATATGTGAGGGACTGCCGTTATCGGTGTGGAGCAGGACAATCTTTTCAATTCACTCCGCACCCTTGATACAAGACCAATTTATATATAGAGGTCTGCCATTAAGGCCTATTGCAAGGAACAGTAGCTCGTCGTATTGACACAGTATGGCCACCAAGGATACTATGCGTGGGGTCGTGTTCCACGAGCCCTTCAAGGTGGCCGTTGAGGAACGACCGGTGCCCAAAATTCAGGATTCGGCCGATATTGTCGTGAAGGTTACTTATACTGCCCTCTGTGGGAGGTAAGTACACTCGCTGCTACGGTAGTGATCGTATGTGTGCTAATTCAGCCGGGCGTGTTAGCGACCTTCATACGTACCGTGGCATTGAGCCTTCTGGCTCGGGGTTTATCATGGGCCATGAATTCACCGGTGTTGTTGTTGAGACTGGTGATGCTGTCACGAAGTTTCAGAAGGGGGATAAGGTTGTGAGTGCCTTTACGACGTCTTGGTATGTAACATCGGAAACGGGATTCTTGGTCAGATTTAGCCTACGGAGTACATGTTGATATAGACCAAAAACAGCGGGAAATGCTTCTACTGCAAGCAAGGGTATTCCTCCCGATGCGAGGAGAACGTCCTGTTCGGCTGCGAAGCCTTGGATGGAGGACAGGCGGAGTATGTGAGTGCTCTTTGCTGGCGCCATGATTTTTGCTAAGACTTTTACCAATGCCGCGTAGGTCCGAATTCCCAATGCAGAGGGCACAGCAATGAAAGCACCAGAGGGGATTGACGAAAAGTTCCTTGTTCTCATGGGCGACATCTTCCCAACTGGCTACTTTGCGGCTAGCAATGCGTTCAAGGGACGGACCCCAGAGCAGGTCTCCGAGCAGACAGTCGTGCTCATCGGCTGCGGCCCCGTCGGGATGTGTGCTTTGATCAACGCACTGGAGTTCAAACCGAAGCATTTACTGGCCGTTGACGCTGTCCCGTCCAGACTTGAACTTGCTAGGTCGCTCGGTGCCGAGCCTTGGAACTTCAAGACAGATGGAGAGGGACTGAGCAAGCGCGTCAGAGAGTTAACTAACGGGCGAGGAGCGGATGCTGTCATTGAGGTGGTCGGGCTTAGCCCAGCGCTGAGGACTGGATTTGATCTGCTGCGGCCGTGGGGTATTCTCAGCAGTGTGGGAGTTCACAACGGAGAGGTGAGTCTCTACCAGCAGGCTGAAATCTAAGAGCGATGGTCCTGACCACTTTCAAGATTCCGTGGAATGGAAGCGAGGCATACGGAAAGAACCTCACTGTCCAGATGGGCAGATGCCCCGTCAGGTCTGTTTCTGAGGCAGCTTTGGAGGTTCTAAAGAAGAACCAGCATCTGCTAGGGTATGTCTGCGCGTCATTTTGTGAAAAGCTCCTGCGGAAGCATGCTTGTTTTGACTCTGTTTTTGCTAATGAGAAATCAGATTCATGACCGACAATATCATGCCCCTCTCGCGAGCGGTGGAGGCCTACGAGCTCTTCAATGCGATGAAAGTCCAAAAGGTCATCTTCGAAGCTGATAAATGAAATAGTATCCATATCCCAGGACCGTGCAAGACTCATCCATCTCCTGTGGTGCAAGACGCCTATAGTCCTATAGTATAGAGAGGTACTCTCAATATAAACCCATGTCTTCCTGTGTAGCGGAAAAGCTACCTAGATAAATGAAGCGTGACCAAACTTCATCTCCGCCTGCCAAAAACAAACAGAATTCCCAACCCAATAAGAGCCAAGCAAAAGCCTTCCCGCAGTAAGGTAAGGTAATAATAAAATAATGAACCACGTACCCAAAAGTAAGTGCCACTACTTTCTCCTCCTCCTCTTTCCCTCTAATATTATTATTCTCATCTTCTTTCCTCCTCCTGCTCCTCCTCCTCCTCTTCACCTCACACCCTCCTCTCTCCTCCCTCCCTTCAGTAACTTATCCTCTTTCTCCTCCATCTACCGTCTTCTCCCACTCCATCCCTCCATTTCCTTCCCTTCTCCTCTCCCGTCTCCTCTCCTTCTCATTCTCTTCCTCCTCTTTCTCACCATTCCGTTTCCCTGTCTCTCTTGGGATTTCTTCTCCGCCTCCCCCGCCTACCGAAACCCCTCTGAACAGTTCGACGACTTACACCCCTCCTACACCTCTTTGTCCGCGTTTATACCTTCATCTATTCCGTCTCATCTCTCCTCATCGGCTATCCATCTCTTCTCGACCTTGATCATCCTTCCTAGGTAAGACATCTCCATTTTGTTCATTTATTTTGATGCTCCATGCGCACAAATCACCTGCAAATTCGGTTCTCTCTGGGGTCTGTCTATGCCACGCTCTCCGCACTATGAGCTCATCATGATCGTTCTAGAGGGAACCGCTAGTCAACCATTTCAGTGTTTTGAACGCATTCTCTGACCAGCAATAGAACGACCCATTCTAGGAGCTCTTTGTTGAATTTTACATCGCACCTGCCAAGACCTACATCCATCACTCATCTCCACTTCTAAACCATGGACTCCACCGAGATGCGCGATGCCCCTCCGGTTGACGAGACGATGGCCGATGCCATGAACGTCGCCGACGAGGGTGACATGGAAGTCACTCCGAAGACCGAAGAGGAATATGCGCAGTCTATGCTGACCCTTCGCGCCATCGTCTCCTCTAAGGAAGCAGGCGTGATTATCGGCAAAGCCGGTAAAAACGTGGCCGATCTCCGTGATGAAACCGGTGTCAAGGCTGGCGTGAGCAAGGTCGTTCCTGGTGTTCATGATCGTGTCTTGACCGTCACGGGGCCTCTGCAAGGTACAGCGCGGGCTTATGCTTTGGTTGCCAAGGGCTTGCTTGAAGGAGCCCCGCAAATGGGTATGGGTGGGATTGTGAACAACAATGGAACTCATCGTATGTTTCCCTTTCTCCATGGAGGATTCCGGACAACTGCAACGACTGTGTCTACGCCCTCGCTTGTGCAGCTTTGGAACCACATTTGCTAACATAGAGTCTTTAGCTGTCCGCCTCCTGATCTCCCACAATCAAATGGGAACCATCATCGGTCGACAAGGTTTGAAGATCAAACATATCCAGGATGCTTCCGGTGTGCGGATGGTCGCTCAGAAGGAAATGCTTCCTCAGTCTACCGAACGGATCGTGGAAGTGCAGGGAACTCCAGAGGGCATTGAGAAGGCTGTTTGGGAGATTGGAAAATGCCTCATCGATGACTGGCAGCGGGGAACCGGCACAATCCTCTACAATCCTGCTGTTCGTGCATCGGTTGGCGGATCCACGTCGATGAACACAAGCAGCGTGGGCAATGGTTACAACAGTCGTCCGTACAACCGCACCGGTAACGGCGCCGATTTCAGCGACGGCCAGTCCGGTGGCTACGGCAGACGCTCTAATCCAGATACCTCCAACCGCGGCTATCCCCTTGTCACTGAGGAGGGCGAAGAAATTCAAACTCAGAATATCAGCATTCCTGCGGACATGGTCGGTTGCATCATCGGCAGGGGCGGAAGCAAAATCACCGAGATTCGCAGAAGCTCTGGAGCCCGCATTTCCATCGCTAAAGCGCCTCACGATGAGACCGGAGAGCGCATGTTCACGATCATGGGCAGCGCTCAGGCTAATGAGAAGGCTCTGTACCTCTTGTACGAAAACCTCGAGGCCGAGAAGACTCGCCGTAGCCAGTTGCCTCAGGAATAAATGCGCTATATGGTTTAAATGGGTCGACACGTTTCGTCACAGCGCCCGCCTTATTCCGAGGAGCAAGCATTTTTTTTCTTCAATGTCTTGCTTTCATTTTCATGTGTCTCTTTTTGTTCATTTCGTCGGTTTCATTAATTTACATCCTATTCAGCTGCCTTAATTACAGGCAAGCCACAGAGTTGCTGCGGTGGAGCACACATACCTATCAATTGCCACGGATCTCACAATCTTCCACCGGTCGCCTCATGCTGAATGACTTTCGAGCTCAGAAAAACGAATGACACCATCTACTGATACTGAGTATCTACGTCTCCTCCCAGCCCCCTCTCTTTGGACATCTTTGTTACCAAATTCTCCTCTGGCTCCTCTACCAGCTCACGTCCCCTCTGAAAAGTTGCTCGCTGCAATATCGTTGTCCTCTAGCTCCCTATTCTCAAGATCGGATCTGAATATTGTTCCCTAATATTTTACACTTAACCAACCCGCGATGTATCATGTCCATTTCCATGCCTTTTCTCCGGTGCAACTGCCCTCTATGCTTCATACTATAAGCACATATCATGGGGGCTTTTCTCCTGTTCCTGTCTCCCCCTGCTGTCTCATCTTTGACAAGACCCTCCAACATGTGTGTCCGCATGAGCTCATCGTGTTCACCGTGGATCTAGAGAAGAAATAATGATGTTTACGAGGCTAACTCATCTCAAAATGAAATGGACTGCAGTGAGCGAATGAGTGTATCTCGGTAGCCGACGTCTAACCTCAACTGATTGGACCGTAGTTTCCACCCTTACAACATAATCTCTCCAGTAATCAATCACTGTTACGTTGTAGACAAACCATGATTTCCGATTACACAGAGACTTATTCAACTTGAAATAAATTTGGCGTCGCATTTACAATCGTTCATCATGCAATTGTTGGCTTGCAAACAGTTATGACAGAAAGTCAACTTTATACATGACTTTGGAGACGAACAGTCCAAAAATGATCGCGAATGAAAGTAGTCTATGCTGCATGCACCTGAACGTGCGAATGCAAATCAAAAATGGATGGGTGGCCGCTCTTCCGACCCAGAGCATGAGGTACAGATATGTATAGGTGGAAAGCAGAATGAGTTAGAAAGGGAAGGGACTGTAGACCAGACTATGTACTGTGCTGAGCACGAAACATCGAATGGGATGTGGATGTCGTCAATGCATGCAGGTATGCATGAATCGGGGCAAGTCGGGAAATTGAAATTCAGTGTTGATCGTGAGGATATGCTTCAGTGCGAAAGGAATTTATGATGCGTCGCAATTGAGCCCGTATCGCCGTGATTGTTTAATGCTCTGGTGACAAGCAACGCCAGGGTAATCGAATAAGTCGCATGGTAAAGAAGGAGAAAAAACGCCGGCCGAAGAATATTCAAAACCCAGGTATGAATCGCTGCGTTAAATGAAAAAAAGCCGTAAATGAAACCGACGGACTCCGGCGGGGTTCAAAGATGAAAAAAGTACAATGGAAGAACGAGCCGATTGATCAGTCGATGCTCACGTCTAAAGGGTCTTCATATGCGACCGTCGGTCGCTGCCTGAGGCCAAATGTTCGTACTCCCATACTGTTCGCTCGTGCTCGACTCTGCTGGATGGGGGTATAGCTGGCTGCCTGCTTGCTCGATGGTGCGGTAATTCTTGTCTGAAACAGACCTTGTTGAGAGGACATACCGTCACTCTGGCCGTCCGGCGCCGAACCATCACCTGCGGCTGAAGGAATGCCAGAGGTACCATATCTGCGAGAACCAGCAAGGATGTTCAAGCGGGATGTGGTCGGCGTATAGTTCGCAGGAATTGCAAGGCTTCTGCGTAGCGGAATGCTGGACTGCGGTGCGGTCGGGGTGCGTGGTTGCTGTAGCTGTGTACGCGTGGATTGATACGACAATCTGGAGCCTTGAGGGCGCTGAGGATCTGAGACCTGTTGGGAGGCGGTATAACCATGCACCACCCGCTGCCGCGGTGAGAGGCGCTGTGCCGCTGCTGAATTGTCAATGTCGGTCATCGCTCTTGAGATCGAGCGACTATGTGGACTTGGCAGGTCGGTGTCTTCATCCTCGGGCTGTAGCCTCTTGCTACGCAATGGAGTTGAGAGACGACTGAGTCGGCTTTTAGGAGCAGATGCGCCGGGCGATGAGGGACTATTGCCATCCGGGAGAGCAGAGAGGTCTTTTCTGCTGCTGCTGTTGCCGTTCGTATTGGCCAGGCTTTGCCGACGTGCCTCTAGACGACTAGATACATGAGTGGTGCTCTTTCGGCGGCTGGGGACCTCAGGTTCCAAGGTCATACTACGTCGAAGGGAACGATTGAGCGTTGACGACTCCTCATTCGCGCTGGTAGGTAACTGGGTTATAGTGTCATCGTCGCCGGCCGACAAGTGCTGTTTAGAAAGCTGTTCGTCTGATAAAGCGAGACAGAGTTCTGTCAAGCTGCGGCAGACACTGTCGGCCTTTCGCCTAGACTGCCGGTCAGAGGAGCTGTAGCCATTGACAACCGAAACTCCACCAGAGGGAGCTTTATTAGTGCCTAATAGGCTTGAGAGAGCCAGCGCATCTGTGACTGCGGCCTCGAGCGATTTATACACCTCGTTGGTCAATACATCTCTCGCTTTGAGTAGAGCCGATTGCAAAAGCGGGTGCACTGGATTAGTGGCCGTGGCAGCCTCCGTTTCCGCCGCTGAGAGGCTTATCTTATGGTTGTGGTTTGGAGAGGAGGAGACGGTCGTTACTGTAGTGGTTGCAGTTCGGGGTCGCTCTCCGGAGACTGTCGATATCGCAGCTTGAGACGACGGCGGTAGTTTTCCGGTCAATTCCAGCTTCTTGATTCGCGACTTCAGATCTTCCAGCTCATCCCAGACCGTAGACGGAGCAGTCGTTGACAAGGTCGACTCCGTGCCATCCTGCCGTGATCGATCAGGCTCTGGCCGCGGCCGCTCTGTGACATCGGAGCCCGACGCCTGTCGACTGCTTCGAAGGCTGGCAAGAGCAGAATGGCGGTAAACTCGAGGATCTTGTAGCGAGCCCCTTCTTTCTATGTGAAGTTCGGCTGAGTATGGTGATGTGTCTGGGCTTGCCTGACCAAGCCTACTTCTCGATATGCCAAGAGTTGACCTCGAACTCGAGCCTATTGTGGAATGTCGGGAGCGGGGATGGTCATCAAGGGGATGAGCGGAGGCCGAGTAGGAGTAAGGAAGGGCGCTGTAAGGGTTTGATGGGGAATTGTTGAGGGAGTGCAAGGGGTGTCGTAAGTGCTCAACCGTAGTTGATCAGGGGACGGCGTCTGTTCATTCAATCGAGAATTGGGTGAACGAAGGTGACCATTAGATAACCCAAGCCGCGACTATATTGTGTTCAACTGGTGTCAGTAAAAGACCGCGTGAGGAAATTCGGAAAGGATTACAAGTGTCGTGATCACCGTCGAACACAGGTTGTCACTCACCCGTCTAAGTTCTGAGCGCCCCAAGGAGTCGCGCCGCTTTGAGTCTGATCGGGCAATATTCAAGAAGATGTCCTCATTCTTGGATTTGGGATCTTCTGCGACTGGCGTTCTAGCGCCATCTTCTTGATCGGTCTGGTCTAAGTTGTGGATTGCGCGATCGCGATCGCTTGCCTGTGGGCTCCCCTGGACGTAAGTCGCTGTTGACACCGGCATCCTCCTCTTCACATCTGCCTGGCTTTGTTGCTGAGACTGTGACAAGGACTGTTTACGACGACGCTTCGAGGCATTGAAACTCAGGGCGTTGTCGATCGAGTCCGCATCACACGGCAGCGGAAAATCGCTAGACTTCTCTGAGATTGACAACGGGGACGGCAAATGCGACGGAGAAGCAGGCGCAGTTGAATTGCGAACACGGGAGGTACTGAAGGTTGGCACTGACCGCCGAGATCCGTCGTACAAAAAAGCGCGCTGGGGGTTCGGAGTCGGATCAGTGTCTGAGGGGGTTACACTGGGAAAGCTAGCTTGGGTCGGCAGGGCCCGCTTGTGCCAGGGAAGCTGATACTCAAAGCTAAATCGACTCTGCGGTAAACGCGGTGATGAAGCAGAAGATGGATAGGGATGTGATGCTGATGATGGGCTCGAGTTTGCTGGTGCCGTTGTTGTTGTGGTTGTGGTTGTGATTGTTGTTCCTGGTGCTGATGGGGAGGCGCTGGTACCGGTGGATATTAGCGTGGCTGCCCTGCCCGTGTCACGGGAGGCGGCCGCAGACATGACGGTCTGACGGCCTGAAACTTTAGCTCTGGCGTTACTCTGGTCGTCGCGATGAGACTTGTAGCGGGAGGCTTGATTATGTTGACGATCATCTAGGTCGTAGCGTGTTGTCTGTCGGGGTTCTTGGAAGTCCTCGGCCTGAGTTGGACCCGCCGACGACCCTATCAGGCTCAACCTGGGCGAGACAGAAGAGGTAGTGGGAGAGAAAGAAGAAGGAATCGAGTCTGCTGCCCATGCAGGATTCGCAATCGAACGGCGAGCCAGAATGGGATGCCGGTCTCTCTGGGGTGCATGAATGGTACGTTTCAGAACCACCGCGGAATCTGTCTGTCGGCGACGGAGTCGAATATAAGGGTTTGGGAGATCGTCTTGAGGAGATCGTGGGATGATGGTGGACACGGGGGAGAAAGTTACGTCTTTGGACATCTGCAATGTAGATCAGGCATCGACAGGATGCACAATTGCATGTTCGAATCGAATTGGTGGGAAGACTGGCAGGTGATGATGGGATCATAGGAGAGATCTGGACTAGAACGTTTGGATTTCTGGGAACACGCAGGGAAGCGAGTCTCGCAGAAAGAAAAGAAAAAAATGCATCATAATTATCTACGGCGTACCACTCTAGTCGACCAGCTCTACTAATAGCAGTAATCTCCATGACGATGGTGACTGATCTCATTAGACAGGGAACAAGAAAGAACGCTAAATGGCCACCAGGAACAGAAACTGATGGTGGCTGGGATAATCTGGAGCTGAGTGGAGCACCTTCAGACGGGGCTACAGATGGCGGAGAATAAATGTTGATCAAGATGATGTGTCCATTTCTGTATCTGAGATAAGAGAAATGACATTTGGTTGCAAGACTCGAAAAGAAGATGGAGTTCGGTTGGCAGAATGCCTTGGTGTTCGTCCTCCGGCGCAAAATATAGAGACGTGGTGCTGATGGATAGATATCCTGGCGGCAGGAAACCGCGACAATTCCAACACAGTCAGTGTTTGAAAAGAAGTGGATAAGAAAAGGCCGTTTGAAAATATGACACAAAACCCTAAGAGCCGAGCAATTTTTCTCTTCTCTCTCTTCTTTCTCCGAGACTCTCTGCCTCTTTTACATAAAATGGATATAGTTTCTGGAGCAACAACAAACAAATTAAGCCGCTGAACCATGGTTTATGCAGTCTCCATCCTTGGTCCAAACTTTTCAAATACTATTGAGGAAAATTATATGCTCCCAACGAGTTCCCTCTTGAGGTTGATATGAAATGCTTCATGAGTTAGCAAAACCACAGTTCAACTGTAGTTGGCATCTGGGTCATCCTGGACTGCCACGTAGTCCCGCAGACCCCTTACTCGATCATTCGAAGAGCATATCGCAGTCATTTGAATGATGCGAGCTTGATAATAGTCTGTCGACCGCCGCGGATACACAAAACCAAGTTCGCATCGCTTACCTTCCAAGACAAGGCCCCTTACTTCCTCTTACACGTCTGCTGCAGTGTGTCATCATCGATTGGCAGAGAATTTTCTTGCGGGGAGAGATAGATCTTATCTCTGAACTTGATATTCTTGGGAAATGAGAAAGGGAAGGTCGAGTTCTTATCTGAAGTGACAACTGGGGCAAGGTTCCTTTAGAGAGTACCTCCTGATTATAGTTTGACATGATGCAGTCATACTGAGGCCCAGCTCGGTCTGAAAAAGACGAGACATGGAGGACCTGTGAGTAGTCGAGGTGGTCGTGTATGTGTATATAGATCGAATCTGTCCTCGTCAAACAGGGCTCAGTACGCTGCTGGTGCCTCCTATCACTCAGTAAAATTTCAATGTCTGGAAGATCTTGATCACTAAGAAACTGAACGAAGATAGCATTAGAATTCTTGTTTTAATAGGGTCCTTGAATAGCTCACCTGAAGCACGCAATAACATATGGGGCGACTGTGTGATGGTCTTCACAGATTTGGTGCTTCAGGAAGATTCTCCTCGTCCTCGGAGACCATAACTGAACCAAGTCCGAAAGGTCACAGTTAGAGAACTGGTTCGGAGAGGCCAGGAGGTCGATAATCTCCTGGAACCAACGAGCCCAGGAAGGCCATATGATGCAACCTCGATCTAGCGGTAGGTCAACCAGAGCACCGGCTTATGAATCATTACAAGGACAACTTCTATGTCCCAGGAGGATCCAAAGTACTGCTCTTGTCTCCATGCTTCTGCCGAACCTGAAAAATTATTCTGAGCGATGGTCATATTACACATCAACCATCAAATGGTTCAATGGGCACCTTTATTCAGATTAGTTTATCACATGCATCAATAGCACCGGGTGATAAAGGCCCCAGAAATAGGCGACTGGGTAGAACCTCATCGCTATGCCAACGACAGCGAGTTTATACAAACCTCGGGCCGTTTTGGCTGAACAACTTCATATCGTTTGGTAAGGGCAACGTTCGGGTAGCAGTTGTGCGCCATGTGATTCGTGATTTGATCCAATTTATCCGAGCGATGACTCCTACCGAAACCCGAGTCAAGAGCAAACGATACTAGAGCGACGCTTTACGGAGCCGAAGGGCTATACGCCGTCTGAAGTATATTGGCCTGGCGTGCGGGATCCCGGAAACAATCTGAAACATATTTTGAATCCTCATATGTCACTACTTGGCACTAAAAGTGACAGAGCTCTCCGATTGAAGCTTTGACCAAGTGGCCCTGATGCTTGAGGAGCCGTTAAATGCTAGCTACCTTTAGGCTGAGACATGAAAGATCAGTTAATGACGCAGTCTTATGGAGCCGCTAGACTTGGATTGCGATAATCGATTATCGAGCCGAAGCAACGCATCCGGGTTCTCGGCAGTTCCACAAAGCATTTGACTATGGATGATGCAGATCAAAGTCGCCATAGACCATCAAAGCCAAGGTACTTCCTGTAACTTGTATCGACTGCTGCAAAAGGGCGAAGAACCGACTGCAACGAGATGCCATCAAACATGACTCTGTGGTTCGAGTAATAATAGGGCGCAATAAGGCCAACTCCACAGTATCCCTGCTTGATTGACGTTTGAAGTCGAACTAGAGGTCCAAGTTCTTGGAATAGTAAGAATGGCGGTTCACTCAATGATCATGAGGTTGTTCAATATCAACAGTGTTTCAGAATGACCGAATAGCCACGTGGAAAAGATGACGGCTCACTTCCCACCTTAGTAGGAACTGAACATGAAACTGTGCACAGGACACTTGGATTAATTGAGTCCAACAATCACAACCTGGAGTCAGTAGCTGCTTCGTACTCCAGTGGAGAAAAACAGCGCTTAACATTTTATAGTGAAGCAAAAGACCCATTGAGACTGGGGATACCTCGTAACCTCAGTCATCCATGAAGATGTCGCCACAGAATTGAAAGAAGATCGGACGTCATCTCTGCGCTGATCAAGACGATCAGGTTGATCGGTTCAGGAGGTTGATGGCCTGGGGACGACATGTTGCTGTCCGTGAGTCTATCCAATAAGCAAGCAACAACACGTGACTGTTACTGAGTCCTAGAGTTGGAACTAGCGGCTTAGCATCTCTTCTGGTGCGTTTCAGAAACTGCCTCCAACTCCAAGAGTTCGAGTTAGCGCGCACTATTATTGCTAAGGTCGACTAGTTTGCCTCTGGCCTGTTTCAGAATTCTATCCCACAGGAGACGAATTTCTTCTTTTGTCTTTCCCCTCTGAATACCTGACAGCTCAGCGGGGAAGATCTCACTTTCATGAAGATCAGACAAGGAAACATCTTGATATCTAGACTACATAGAGGCAAAACATGCAACTAGGCACTCCTGTCGAGGTTCAGGACGCAACATGCCGAGTTTCCAAGTTGTTTGGTTGCGTGGTCTTGAGGATCGAATTTCAAATTGCTAGCCTAGCTTCCATCCTTGGCGATTTGATTAGGAGTCTCCATATCGCCTTATTGATTCTCCTCCCAACGCCTCCCAGGGGCAGCGTCTAGGACGATCTCGATGCGATCCTATGGTAGGACGGCCATTTGTGTTTCACCTTAATTCAGAATCAGCTTATTTGAAGCACCTGGAATAATTTGCCTAGGCAGCGGTTACAGAGCCTCTCTTCCGAATTACCAGCTGCCAAACCAGGTAGTACCTGACTATGCGCAATGTAGTCAACGTGATATAGAGATTTAGAATGTGTTCCTTGATCTTACCATTTTTATTGCATGCCGATATACTCTCAGTATATTTTCAGCTTTAGCTTTTCATCTCCTGCGTCAATCCAGAACCAGCTCGATTCGAGCCTTGAATAGAAGCAAACAGCCGCAGAACCAGGTAACCGTGCACAATTAAAGCGGGTCAGATGGGCAGCAGATTTGGAATTCATCAAGTGTGGCTTTCTGATAAATACTCATTGATCTGTGATTTCTGTTTCGGAGAATTTCTTTATCATCTTCAGCAATCGTTCTGTGCTTCTTCTGGAAAAAGGTCTTTCTGCTTGTTGTACTCCATATCTTCAAGTTTCCTTGAGCATTGGCCGGAAAAGGAGAGTTATTGCTTGCGTGCTTGCTGGGGTTGGAGTCGGTATGGTGCCCATGGAAAAAGGCACTCACTACTCCGTACAACCCGTGTGCGAATGAAAATCCTGTCCGGATCTAGTACGACTGTGGCATAGGCCCATGTTGAGCCGTGATACCCCAATTCAAACAGAGAGGAGGGATTTTGAGTGTTTTTAGGACAACAGCACGAGGATATCCACATAGCATTTGATTTGCATTTTCTGTTCGATAATTGACTTTGTCAACGTCTGTTTGCTATCAGCGTCGCCCTTTGTTCAGAATATTTGTCATAGCCCTTTTATCGATCTGTCTATTGGTTTGACATCTGCCACACCGTCGACCTTTCCCGATCTTGTCTTTTACTTCCTTTGTCAGTCTGGCCTTCCAAATCTCGAGCCCCAGTAGCGTCGATTGTGGAGCCCGGTTCTGTTAATTAGTGTTGGACTTGGACTTTGCACCAGACCCTTCTTGACTGAAGAAGAAACAAGAGAGGGAGATCCAAAGGGGCAGCCCGAGGCCCTTAGGTTTTCGATATTTCGAAGAGAAACCCGAAACAAGGAAACCATCGATTCGGGGCTACGATGGGTATAGGCTCCATTCACCGGATTGGTGCGGTATTCTTGTTTACATAGTCGGGTCCTCGAAATGTTGCATCAGAATTATGCTTATCCACCAGCCCCGGTTTCAGTTCCATCTTCAACTGGGACATCACCTGAATGACCAGGAGATGAGCAATACAGGTGCAAATCGGTTGTACAATCTACATCAGACATACGACAAGCCGACTAGCTGATACCGCTCGTGTTGGCAGGATCTAGTAGGTGGTATCTGATTTGCGAGCTCTTTGGCGCCCATGCTGCACATACCAGCCTCCCATATCAAGCTGGGCGGCTAAATTTAGAGCTGCAGGCGCTAAATGTCCCGCGGTACTGCAATCTGATTGGCCTCCCACTTTGGGCTTACTGGGGTCAATCTGTGTCTGCTCCACAGCTGGAAGTATTTTGATAGGCTGTCCATTAGAACGCAGGCCGCCATCCTGCCGGGGCTGTTTCCAATCACTTTGGGCTCCTTCCCGTTGGCTCAAACCGCTTGCTCCGGCGTTGTTTTATTCTTAGTGATCTCTCTTCGTTTCATTAGTATGAAGGGTGCGATTTTTTATTACTACGTACGTTGCTTATTATTTATTTTTTATTTATTTTTTAGCCCTCTCTACAGTTTTATGATGGGCTGTCTGTTACTACGTACTGAGGTAACAAGTCGTTCCTCCTCCTCTGCCTCTGCCCACGCTTATCGTGGGTCATTGTTGGAGGAACCTCTTTCGTTTCCCTTTCGTTCTCATCTTTTCCCTTCTCCTCTTCTCTTCTCTCCTTCCCTCCCTCCGTCTCCCTCCTCAATTGTCTTTCCTCCCCTCCTTCTTGATAGGATCCTTTCCTACATAGTCGACTCGCCCTCAATCTCTCCATCCCAGTTGTGGGCAGTCGGTCTTGTCGCCATTCCCTTACCTTCCTTCTCCTTGAGCTCAGACCTGGGATAGTGCTTTCGATACCCTATTCATTTCGTCATTCCCCGGAGGAACGACTGCCCATAGAAGACACCGGGCGGCAATTCTCTCCCCAGTCCTTTGCCTGCCAAAACCTGAACCGATCATAGTCATCTTTATTACTATATTTTTTGCAGTAATCCTTGAAAACGGAGCAAACTGCTTTATCCTTTATCCTTATTCTCTGACGGGCTTCGTTGTTGTGGCTACTTTGTCCGGCTTCCTTCCTGTTTC